TATGGGTTTCATGTGTGAGCCCTTCCACTGTCTTGCCACATGAAGTTTGGCGCAAAATCGGTTATGTGGGGATAGAATGTCCATTAATTAATAAATTCTGTAAAGCTAGAAAGTTGTTTAAATGTATGACAAGTTTTATTCAGTTTTCTTACATGGAATGAATGCATAAAGCAGAGGTTATGTCTCTGAAACTACTAAATGGATATCATTTAATTTTGTTATTGTGGTCCACATGAAAAAGCTGATTTTGGTGTCATTGAACTGTAACCTGAACTTTACAAGACACCAGAATTGAATGTTATAACATTTCTCAAGAAACAAATATGTTGTTGGCGATACAAAGTGTAACTTTTATTTTGAGTACATTTCAGCGCATTAAACGTTTAAAGAAAATTTTTCTTACTATGTGCAAAGTGATATTTGTTCAAAGATTGCTGTCACTTGGGTTGTAATGCCATGTAGCCTAGTGAAGTTTACCAGCATCTGAGGTGTTCTTGTAGCCTTCATCATCAGGACAGTAGCTATAGGCTGCTTATCTGTATTTAGAGAGGGCACATACTAATAGCACTTATCACCTTGATAATGGAGACAGTAAGCACCTCTGAAATGTCAGTATGCTTCTAGCAGACTACACTGTGCCAAAGCCCAGAAGACAACCATGTTTGTATTCACTGCAGTAAGAGCCTCAAATCCTGTGTGATAATAAGCTATACAGTTATGTTTGCTGTAGTAGTTTTGTATTGATAGTAAATAAACATTGGGACTAATGATTGTAAAATCAGACAGAACACGTTTAGAAAATGTATGAATGTAATTAAGGTTTTTTTATCCCTCTGCATTCAATATGTGATTTTATATTTTTAATTGAAAGCGATAACAGTAGTGATGATGAAGATAGCCCAAGGAGAGGGAAGAGGAAAGAAGAAAAGGAGGCTGATATCGGGAAAGTCGTATGTGTGGAACTCGGAGACAAGAAGAAGCAGAAAGATAACTGGTTCCCAGGGTTGGTGGTGGCCCCCACGGCTCAAGATACAGTACGAATACGAGTCCGTGAAGAGTACCTTGTGCGCTCCTTTAAAGATGGACGATAGTAAGTAATGAAGTAATGTAATTTGTGAACATATAGTACACTTAAGTTAATATTTTTTTGACTCCATGTGGTTATGGTAACTGTTCTTGCATTGCAGTTTTACAGTACCAAAAAAGGAAGCCACAGAATTTACAAGAGAAATTGGGGCAAAAGTGGATAATAATACTCTAAGAACTGGTGAGTTTTTTCAGTGATAAAATATAGAAGTAGTATAATTTTTGTAATGTAACCTCTTTGTCGTTATGAGGATATCAAACTATGTTACTCGTACATAACAGATAAAGAGACTAATCAATCACATATCTAAAGTAACTATCTCACTGGTAGTAAAACTGAAGGTTCATTACTGCTAATATGAAATTTGTCATTGGACGTGATCCCAAGGTAGTTCATTCACTCTCTGTCCTCAGACAACTTCCCTGAGATCCACATTAGTATTATCATCCAATTTCCTTTAGTTTCTGTGTGGCCTTTATCGAGCGGGATCCCTTTTATATATATATAAAGTGTATTTGAATCGCCCTCAGTGCACTAGTGGTTAGTGTGCTCGCCACTGTACCCAAGGTTTGCGAGTTAAAACCCGGCCGAGGTCGATGGATTTTTAAGGATGATAAAAATCCGTAGCACAACTTCCTTTGGAATGGTAATTACTAACTGTTCTAGAAAATTGACTACTTATGAGGCAAACTTAATTTTTTTTAACCTTCCACGATTTTCCATTGCTAATTGATGTTCATTGCATTTGTTTTTTACAGCAGTGGAGAAGGCCCTTCTGTTCCTGGACAGGGATGAACTTCCACCACACTGGGATCGGGACCTTTTATTTGGAATGGATGAGAGTAGTGGCAATAGTGATAGTGATGGAGGGTTTGATTCGGATGTAAGTGTTGTTTTCTGTTTGACATGGCATAATTTAATTACCTATTTTTTATACTTAGAAATAAAGAAAGTGTCATAGTTTACATAATCAAAACTGGTGTCTCTTGCTGATCAGTATGTGCTATTTCTTATGTAAATATTGTAACTATTTTAATTGACTGTTGGCCATGAAATTATGGGGGAAATAGAGAATTATGCCACTAAATATGATCTCTTGTTATGTTATACATGGAAACGTTCTGCATTATTAATATTAATGCATTGTGAATTTTTAGAGTTCTGATGATGAACCAAGGGAAGAAAAAGATCACTTTGTAGCTCAGCTTTATAAGTTTATGGATGACAGAGGTACACCAATAAACAAGGGACCCATCATTGGCAATAAAGATGTGGATCTGTACAAACTATTTAAGGTATGTGTAGATTTGAATACACTGAAAAGTATAGATTCAGAAAATACTCTTTTATTAATTTCTAGCAAAAATTCAGTAACCAGTACCAAAAACATTATAAAAATACCTGTAAACAGAATGAAATTGCTTATTTATTTTGACAATTTTTTGAATATATATTTCTGTTGATGATTGTTCTGTTATTTACCACTAAGGTGCATCACATTGTGATTGCCAAGCAACAAAGTTTTATGTGGAGAATAAATAGTAAAAGAAACCCAAAGATTAAATTCTGTATGTTGAATGTTTAGCTCATGCCAGAAACATGTTTTCAGCATTTTTGTAAGATGTGATATTTGTAGTGTTTCAAAGATTTTTGTTTAACAGAAACTTCACATTTTCAGGTTGTTCATAAGTTGGGTGGATACAACCGAGTTACAAATCAAAATCAGTGGAAGATAATCTCCCATAAGTTAGGTTTTGGTCAAGGTAGTTCAAGCATTGTGAATCTCGTTAAACAAGCATACAAAAAGTAAGTTTTTCTGGTGTTCATGGTCTCTTCTTATTGCTAACATGTTTCCAGTTTCTGTTGTATAAAATTACACATAATGTATACCTCTTTTTTCTTATTATTAATGTAGTAACAGATTTAGTCCCTAATATTGAAGGTTTTTGGGTCCCGATGTTTTACTGTAAACCAGATTGGCTGTTGGCATTTTCATCACTTCACATATATAAGCTTCTGGACATTAGGATATTGCTGAAAGGGGTATAATTAATTTTTGCTTAAATGATCATTAACATTGTTCATTTTTCGGAAGTTGTAAAGTTATATGTGAATCCACTTTTTGTACACTTTAGGTTCCTGCATAGTTTCGAAGATTTCTATCGGAAATTGGGTTGCACGATGGTGAACCATCCTCGTGGCAACAGGTCAAGACATCGATCGGGTCGGAGTCTTATTAGGGACCGGGACCGTGCAACTCCTATTAATTCATTAAAGGATAAGGTAAGAAGAAAAGGCATTAGTGTAATAATTTTGTTAATAAAATACTTAAAGATTGTGTACCCTACAGGGTCTTTGGATTGTATTCTTCTAAGGACAACTTTGTTCATCAAAATCTATGTGCATATACATAATAAATATCTACTTCAATTTTCTAGCTTCTTTCTTCATTAAGATTAAATAGTAGTATGTCTTAATGGAGCGGTTATGTCCATCTTTGACCCAATGGCAGTAGAGGTCTGTGATTAAATTGTGTATTTATTGCCACTTTAAATGTAGACTCAAAGCATTGTTTATATATATTCACTTCATCAAAAAATGTTGGAATCTGTGAAATTGTTCTCTTGGACTTTGTCATCATGTGTATTACAAGATAATTCAGTTACAACATTGTGGAATTATTCTTCCATCTTACAATAAAAAATTGAGATAACAGAAACCTCGTCCTAGTCTGATACACACTCTGAAAAGAGCTGAAAGGATTTGAATGAAATTGGGTGTGGACATTATGCCATTGGAGGCTGCTCCAGAATCATACTGTTTAATTCCCTGGAATTGGTAATACCAGTCTGGTGGATACATAGAGATCTTTTAATTTGAGGTGAATTTTCTACTAAAGGAAAATTTAGGTAAATTTTTCTAAATAACTTTAGGCCTAGTTATGAATATTATTATATGAACTTCAAAAGGGAAATAATTTGATCACTTTGCAGATACACTGTCTCATTGTGTACTTTGAGTTTTATTTCTTTCCTTCTTTTTTTAAGGAAAAGCCTGCTACACCAGCAGCTATTGAAAAAGTTCCTGAAGTTTTGGAAAAGGATAATTCTCAGACTGATAAGAAGGATGATACAGAAAAGCGTGGTGAAACTGAGAAGAAAGAAAAGTTAGAGGAAACGCCTAAACAAAAATGTCAGAAGAAAGATAAACACAAGCAAAGGGAAGAGAAAGCTGATGTTTCAAGTAAAGAAGAGAAGAAATCTGAGAAAGTGAAAGCAAAAGACGTTAAAGATGTGAAGGGTGAGGACATGGTGATAGAGAAGTCTAAAGTGAAGGAGGAGAAGCCTAAAACAAGTGACACAATAAAAGATGAATCTGAAGAGAAGGAAGAAAGGTTACGGGTAAGAGAGTCACATAAAGATGATAAAGGGAAAGAAGTTAACTCTCGAGTGGCTCTTGAAGATGACAGTAGCAGCAGTAGTACAAGTAAGACTGAGAATAGAAGTACTGAAGAGTCATCGAGGTCACGGTTGGTTCCAAATCCGGTTACTCAGCTATCCCAAAATGAGCCATGTTCTGAAGAGAAATTGAAACAGAATGGAAATGGAAAACAGAAACCAAAGGATACTAAAGCAAAAAAAGAAGAAAAGCTCAAGACACTTGGAGAAAGGGCACGAATTAGAGAAGAGAAAAGCGAGACAAAACAGAAAGATGAAAAGGTTAAAGAAGAAAAGTCAAAAACATTATTAGAAGAAGAAAAACTGGATGAGGCAAAGAAGAAACCTGAGAAGAAAGAAGATGAGGAGAAGGTAACGATATATTTATTTGTTAAACATCATGCATGTAGTACAGAAGTTACTGGAGGAGATTGACAATTCTGAAGTATCAAAAGATAGTTCAGTGTCCATTGACAGTTTGTAACTGATTGGAGCAGGGTCCTTGAGAAACTGATTGTCATTCAGCTATTCAGTAAAGTCCCTGTCTTTTAAAGAAGTCCAAAGTTTATCACCGTTTTTAAAAGTCCCCACCAAGATAACTTGAGTAGTTTTAATCCCATCTATGCTTTTACACTGTAACATTTATAAGATCCATTTGAATATTATTCTTTCATTTGTAGTGCAGTCATAGTTTCAAAGGTCTTGGGATTAAACCCACAGTTAGTCATGTAAATCTTTGAGGTACAGATAACTGATGTATACTTACAGATCAGGTCGCTGTAATTGTATTTCTTTAGTCTCTGCTCTGATAAAAAAATTTCCAGCTGAACATTTACATTATTTTATTTTGTACATTGAATAGAAACCATTACACAGTTTTAATAGTTAGTTGTGATTTTCCTTTCCAAAGCAAACAAGATCAAAATCTAAAGAGGATTTACGTCAGAAGAAGGATACAGTAACTCCAGACCGGCGACCAAGTGAAAGTCGCACTCCTGTGAGAGAATCTGAGAAGAGGGTCCCTCCCCGCCCCAAGAAAGAAGAAGAAATGGTTCTTGCATTGAAAAAGCGTGGTCGCAAACGTAAAGATACTGATGACAAATCCAAATCAGAAGAGTAAGAATGCAGTATTAAATCATTATCATCCATAGACATTTCCACTGAAAAGGGTTGTCTTGTTACAAAGTGTCTTGTATTCTGTCCTCTCAGAAATCCTCTTGTATTTATTTCACCTCTTCCCATATTACTTTATCATACTTCACTTTGTCTGTCAGTCTTTTCCTTTGTCTCCTCAGTGGTAATTTAGCTGACATATTCATTCTTCATGTTCTCAGAGAAACCCTATTGTCATGTATAACACATGTCTATACTACTACAGTGAAACCTCGATGCATCGTTTTTGGCGGGGGTGGGAAATAAAAACGATGAATGCGGGAAAACGATAGATGCGGGAAAGCATTAAAAATTAAAAAAAAACAATGTTTCTCTTTCAAAGTTACTTCTTTTTACCAAAAAAGCCTTTAATGGACAACTGGTTTGTCGAAACTTTACGTTTTAGACCAAACAGAGCACTTTCCACGTTCAAAATGTTTTCCTCATCACGTTCACTAATATTATGCGCATAAAAGAACGACTTCACTTTTGCCAATGCTTCGGCAAAACTCGGCACAGATTCGGGCTCGCATTCGTCGTCTTCCACTTCCTCACCACTCCCTCCCCCTTCACGGACAATAACAGGAAGAATGGAAGTACTATTACTGCCGAACACGACGAAACGTAGCCGTAGAAGACACTGAACCACTGGAAACGAGATGAACCAGAAGAATGAAAAGTGCCGCCAGCCTTTCCTTTGTACTTATAATAAAAGCATTTGTAAAGAAATTCACACTGCACATGCCATCTGGCATCGCTGGAACGAAATATGAGTGCACCCTAATTAAAATCGTAAAATTTCGGACAATGAGCCCCGCCATTCACTCCAACTATCACCCCTGCACCGCTGACCATCATTCCAAAAGAATGTGCTGGTTGGGCGACATAACAGGTTACCGCTACTGCGTATTCCAAAAACATTGTGCGTCTTTCGGAATTAAATTCTAAAAATATCGCGTAAATTTCGTTATAATTTCTCAGAAACGATCATTGCGGGAAAATTGTGGGCTGGGACTAAGATTTTTGAACGATCGATGCGATAAAACGATAGTTCGAGGAACGATAGAAGCGGGAAAATGTAACATTATTTTATATGGGATGTATTCGGGACCGAACAAAACGGACGATGCATCCGGGAAAACGATAGTTCCGGGAACGATGGATAGAGGTTTTACTGTATAACCTTAATTTCAACAATTTTTCTTTCACATCTTGGATATTACTCCATCTTATTCCTTCCTACCTGTGTCTTAACCAGTTGACATACTGTCTGAATATGTCTCCCTAAAATACCGATGTAAAATTAATATACATGCAGTATAATCACTGTAGAACAAGTACATACTAGTGAGCAAAATCATTGGTATCATCAGTTCAAGAACATTGCACATGTAGAAAATGTCATATAGAACTTCTTTTCTGGCACCTTTGCCGTATGCCACTTTTGTTCCACAAATTTCCCCTTAGATTTTATCCACTGACAAATATCAGTCATGAGATTTTCTGTTGCAGTGCAGAAACTAGTTTTTGTTTTTCCCCACCCAGGAACACCATTTATCTCAGATGATTCACACGTTGCCATCAAGTATGCCACTCTTTGATGTGATGCCAATAACTTGTCTACAAACATTAAAACAGGAGTGATGTTTCTGCTTCTTCTTCTGTAGCTTGCATGGCAATTTGACAACAGCAAACTACAGCAAGGGGGGATATTTTCTGATTATGGTGATTTTGTATAATGGAAGGAGAAAATGTAACTCTGTTTTGTTATTGTACATGATTAAATTACCTCCTGAAGCCAGTGGCTGAACCCCAAAATAACTAAAATCACAAAGGCATGGATTAGTGATACTTCACCAGCAGATGCTCTGCTTTTAATGCATATAGTGGCAAAGTCGTTTGGAAATGTTCATTTCTTCCATTGTGTATTATTTTCCTCAGCTAGTGGATGGAATTAATGTGTAACTATTCTTTTGTTGTTTACATATCTGCATAATAACCACATTTACAAATAAAAACTCATTAGTGCATGAATATATTTAAACCTTGGTGCTCTATATCTATAATTAGAGCTTAGGTTATGGAAAAAGTTCAACCATCTTTATATACTATGAGTACCTACTAGAACAATTATTTTGCTAATTTTTTTAAATTCTCTGTATATCGAGGTTGCGCTGCATTTCAGAATGGATGCCTCAGAATTATCACAAAAATACTATATATCGCATCTGTTACACTATAAGTAAATTATTTTGATTATCGTCCACTGATGATTCACTTTGTCAAAATAGCTTAATCACTCACTTTAATCTGCATAGAAGCTTTATCTCTGCTTGTAATCTGCTTAAAGTAACTAAACTAACTACATGAAGCAGAGTCAGTTATGGGAAACTGATAATATGCTCAGTACTCAAGAAATTCCCCACTTTTTAACAAACTGGAAGGATCATTACCTTGTTTAATTTGCTTAAATTTTTTTTAGTTCATGTCCACTCTGAATGTAAAATTCAAAAATTTGGAGAAATATCAATAATAGTATTTTGTTTCTTTCAGAAGTATGGGTCAGTTGGCAAGTTACATCTCAGTTGGTGTAGGAGACAAGTTGAAAGTTTACTATGGTCCAACACATGAATCCAAGGTCACATATGAGGCGAAGGTAGGTTTGAGGAACACTTCTACACAGTTACGGGCCTTGTCGATTGTTGATGCAAATGAAATGGGGATACCTGGTTGTTTGCAATTATGTGCTGGCCTGAATCACCATTTCACTCTCACCTTACCTGTGCGGCTTTGATCATTCTTAGCATTCTGTTCCTTTTTAAACTAACACTATGGTCAGATAGTAGCATGTCATGCAATTCTCCCAATGATGGCCTTTATTGAGGGAAAAACAAATTGAATTACTATAACTTGCGTATTGTCCGTGAGAGACACCATCGTGGTGTTTCTGAGAAGTTGAGGCTTAAGTTTTTTTTATTATTATTATTATTATTGGTTGTAGGTACTAGATATTGAAGAGGATGGAAACGAGAGTGCGTATCTGGTGCATTACACGGGTTGGAACACTCGCTACGACGAGTGGATCAAACGGGGGAGAATTGCTGACAATCTGAGTTGGACTCCCTCTAGAGCCAAACGCCTCAGGCACCAGCAAGCACAAGCACAGCTCAAGGTAAACAGTTTCACACTTCCGCCTTCATAACAAGCATGATCTGTAGTGTTTTATTGTTTCAGATTCATCACCACCCTCTTCCTTGTGTGTTTCTTGTCAGCACAGCACTTGTAATGTGTCTACTGTGTAGTGTAGAAGTAGTATTCTTTGTGGCTGCTTAGCATGGAGCTTTCATTGTATGTTATTCATGCCTTTGTTATTGTTTTGCATGGCTTGAATATTTTTATTTATAATGTGGTTTATTTAATAAATGTGCAACATGATATGGTCATAGTGAGGATGGCTGTGCATTGCTTTCTTGCAGGCTTCTAAACCAGTATTGGGTAAACGAGGTCGACCATCAGTTTGTGGCAGGACACCTGATGTGCCAAATGTGCAACATCAGCCACCCCGCTCTACAACACCATCCTCGGTAACATCATCCTCAAGTCGCACCAAGTCACCAGCAGCGTCAGCTTCTGCTTCTCGGTCAAGTGGTAGCAGTCGTATTACCCGTAATACCAGTGATCCCAACAGTATGGTACCAGGGCCTTTGTTCCGTAGGCGCACACGTAGAATGTCTGGACACACAGGTGCCTTGTACCTTCATCATTATTTTTGTGGAATGAACATTTTTTTAAATTAAGTTTTAGAAATTAAATTGGTCATCAATCTCATAACTTGTGTATAATTCAGAGTATTGGCTGTTGCCATATTTCAGGATGTAATTTTGAAAGGAAAGTATTTGGCAAGGTAATTATATTCAGATTAACAGAAAAAAAGATAGAACTAATATGATAGAGTAATGACCAATAAAAATTCTGCTACCAAATATCTAATTAACTTTGAAGATTGACACAGAGTTGACAGCCTGCTTTGCCTTCATTTGCCAGTTATCTTTTGTTTTATATGTTTGGAAAGGGCTGTAGTTTGGATGGTAGGATGGGGACCAATACTGTTGCATTACCATCTGTCTTCATAACCATTATTCAGGTGATGGTGAAACTTCCCTCAAATCTTATGTTTCTTTGTAGATATTTCCATGCCGTCAGAGTCCGAGAGCGAAGAGTATGAGTCTGAAGTAGAGATTGAGATAGAACCAACACAAACCAGAAGTAGAACTGAAAAGAGAAATTTCTTAGCAGAGAAAGAAGAAGCAGGTAAAGACATTTCTCCAAAAGAAGATGTGAAGAAACTAGAGAGGCCATTTAGGCGGAAAGCGGGGAAAAGAAAAGAAGAGGAAGATGATGAAGATAAGGAAAGTTCAAGAGAAGATGATAGCATAGATCTTATTCCTGATGTAGATGCACCAATTGAAGTGTTGCCAAGTTCAGAGAAGAGGCGAAGCAAACGAACAAAAAAGATGTCAGTCACTCCTATCATTGACAAGAAGCCAGGGGATGTGTCTAAATTTGAGGTCCCAGTGAAACAAGAACCTGGCACTGAAAGCGAAGAGGAACAACCAAAAGGAAGAGATTTTGATCTGAATCAGATCAGATCAGAGCTCAAAGGAATTGAAAAGGCTGTAAAGCTGTCGCAGGATGTGATGCATCGAGGAGAACAGAAATGCTCACAGGTGATCCTCGATGATAAGACGGGGCTTATAGATGTTAGGTGCAAATCAGAGGAGAAGGAGGAGGATAAGGAAGTGCAGTCTACTACTGTAGATGGAAAGGTTCCAGAAAAGACAGAAGATCCAAGTGCTGAAGATATATACGAGTTCAAGGAACCTGAACCATTTGAATTTGAAGTTCGATCAAAACGGGACACACTGTTGGATGAAAGGGCTGGTAAACTGAACAGGCGACTGAGGATCTTTGATGATGTTGTTGGGCCCAAAGAAGAAAAGTCTCTTAGAAAGAAGCTTATTAGGTCTACCGTGGCACAGAAGACTGAGGGAAAAGATGATACACCATTTGAAGGAGAAGTGAAAAAGAGGTTTAAACGTTCCATCACTAAGAAGGTAGACACTGTTGCAGAATCAAAAAGAAAGGAAATGGTACTCACAGATGAACTTAAGCTCTCTCCTGCCAAATCTTTGCCATCTGAACCAGTCACTCCACAGAAATCTCGCCCATTGTTGGCATGTGAAGAAGCTTTTGACAAATTGTGTGAATCCCCATCATTTCACGTGACCTCTAAGCCATGTGAAAACCGAGCATCTAGCCCATTGGCATCAAAAGCTATAAAGCCTCTTGAACTAGAACCCCTTAGTCTTTTCAGTGAATTGCCAGGTGAGGGGCCTGATGATGATGGTGAAGATGACAGTGAAGACCGCCTTGTTATCTCGGAAACTGATGAAACAGAAACAGAAACTGAGGAGCCCTTATTCACGTACCCTCAGCGTCATCATGAAGAACTGTTCCCCACTCTGGTGAGTTCTGAATCTAGTGTTCCTGCTCCTGAACCAACAATTGCTCCACCTAAATCTTCTCCTGAACCACCACAACTTCTTCCAATGGTAGCAGATATCTTCACAAGCTTTAGTTCAGGGAAAAATGAAGATATACCACAAAGAGAGACAGAAAACAAAGAATCAGAGAATGCAAATGAACAGTCGTCAGGTGTTCAGATGAGTGATGATGAAATGAAATTGCTCTTGAAGAGTGGAGAAGATGATGAGTATGAAGATGACCCCATCAATGCAGCAATCCAGCGAGTCATTGAACAGTCCATGACAGATGAAGAATCTGATGACATGGATATATTTGGTGGCAAAAGACCAGTTTGCAATATTGGTAGCATACAGCAAGAGTCAATGGTGGCACCTGAACTAGAGCCTCCAGCTGCTGAGGTACCAAGAAATGATTCACTACCAAAGGAGACAGGAAAGAGGAAGACAGGTAGCAGGAAGCCTGTTCTCAGCAAGGAATTTGTTGAAGATACAGATTCAGACAGTGATAGTAGTGATGAGGAGGAAAGACTTGTGATTGCAAAAATTGATAATGAGGATGACAATATGAGTAGTTCATCAAGTCAGTGCAGCCTGAAATTACATGTAAGTGAATCATCTGACTTTGAAATTAAACTTCGTTTGAGTGATAGGGATGAAGACAGTAAAACAGAAGGTGAGGAAAGTGAGAGAAAGCCGCAGGTTAGTGATACATCTCTCCATGTTACAACAGTAGTAGAGAAAGATATTGAAGACACTGGAAAAAATGATGGGCCAGCAGAAACAAGTCGCAGTGTGGATGAAGGTGAAAGTACAGCTACAGTTAAAACTGATGAAGTTACTACTAGTGTACAGGTGAGTTAACCATAACAAAGGTCTTTGTTGTTTTAAACTAATGTCATCTGTTTCATTGAAGTTACTTAGAGGCAAATTATGCATGGAAAGAACTTGAAGGGAAAAATATTATAATGAAAGGACAACTAGAATTCACATATGGATGTTCAGTTACTTCCATGGAATCTTTTCATGTGGGTCAAGCGCACATTACATGGAGCTAACCATCTATTTCCATCAGGTGTTGATTTTGAAAATGTATATTCAGAATAGCCATTAACTTGGAATCTACATTGACATTGAATAATTTCAAAAAATTTCATAATATTTCTAGGAAAAACATGAACAGAAATACAGTCATAACGTGTATAAGAGAAGAATAAATTCTAGGAGTAGTTGTTATATACTTTGAAATGTCATCTCCTCTAGTTTTCTAAACACTCAGGATGAAGAGTAAAACAGTTAGTCTAGTTTTTTTAAGTGCCTCTTAATTTCAGAAAATAACATTAATGTTAAAAAGGATAGGTAAATATTTAGAATGGTAGAATCCAAGAAACTTAGGATATAACATAATGAGACCACAATGAGGAACTTTGTGTTGTTAAGGGATTGAGTTCATGTGGTCATGTAGCTAAGATGGAGGAGACTAGGAATGCATACAGAATTTTGTTTGGGAAACATTTTGGAAATCAGTTGCTTGGAAGACTTAGGAAGAGGTGGTAGGATAATAAATATTAAGATCAATTTGAAGGTAATATTATGTGGATTAGAAATATATGGAACTGACTTAGGCATTGGTATTTGAGGTGTAGAACAACAGCATTATTGCATTTATGGTAATTAAAAATAAAAGGAATTAATTATTTATTATGAAGGGCTGACTTTTAAGAGTGTCTTTTATTGTAACAGTTAACATATCAGTGCCTCTTTCTGTGGTGACTAGTCACCTTTGTACAGATATAAAGATAATTTGTCTATGATCTAACTGAAGTTATGTGTATGAAGTGGCTGTGACTCTCAGATTCTCATCTGCCACATTGTTATTAATGATTGTTGGCTATTTAAAATATATGAGATTGGAGTGTCCTCCAGTGGCATGACATTCGTACCACATATCTTGAAGATCAGTAAACTGATCTGATAATGTAGTGGGATGACAGATAGCATGTTGATCTTGTAAGCCTGCTTTCTTTCCATAAGAAAGGGAAATGGGCTTAAAAAGTTTGAAAATTTACTGTTTTTGCCATCTCCTGCAATTCAAGGTATATGTTTGAGTCATTTCATCATTGAATATTATATCTAAGTTACCATGGAGGTATGTGAACAAAGGATGGTGTTTTTGTTAAGTGAAACGTTGCATGAAAGTGATTAATTGTAACTTGTTATGTAAATTGCTGAAGTTTCGTTTCCACATTTTTTTCCATACTAGAATGAAATTTGATGTTTCTCATTGCAGGATGTAGGACACACTGAGTTTGCGAGTGCTGTTGTGGCAGAATCTAATCCTTCACAAAGGATGGAATGTATTTCACTTCCAAATTCAAATAAAGTGTCAGAAGAAGGTGATGTTGACATTTTAGTTTCTGAACAACAAACACCAGTGGAGAAATCAGATGAAAGTGAAAAGTGTGAAGAGGAAGCAGAGAGCAATTTACGATCATTGTTATGTGAAGAGACCATTCCTGGTAGTCCAGCTCCAGCCAGTGATTCTGCACAAGCCATTGAGATATGCAATGACGAGCCAGAAGAAACTAAAACAACAGTATTAGAAATGCCATTTGCAAGTGCACCAGGCAGCAATTCCACATCAAGTTCAAATAATGGGAAGTCTTCAGCATCTGTACCCATCTTTGCTTCCCCTTCAGTTGTTGAACCTCCAGTAACCACAATCCCAGTAACAGTAGATCTGTCTGCTCCTGTCCAGATGCAAACTGTAACTACTGCTGCAGCCCCCACCGTTTCTCCTCTGTTGCCTCGACCACCTCAGGTACAGGTACAGGTGCAGGTGCAGCATCCTGCAGTTCCAGTTGCAGGCCCAGGCCCTGGGTCAGGTATTCAAGGGTCTGGTCCAGGTGTTTCCAAAAGAAATTCAAATGAAGCTGCCCCTGTAATGGATAATACTCCGCCCACTACACCTGACAGTAGCCTTTCTACGATATCAGGCTCACCCAGAGAGTAAGTTGCATATATTTTTATTTTATTTATTACATTATATTTTAATTATGTTTTGTATTTGAGGTTTTCATCATGATTTGAATATAGATGGTGGTCTTCTGAGTTGTGCTATGTGGTCTTCTAGCAGTATACATTAAGAAGACCACCATCTGTCTCTTTTCTTGTTAATTCTATATTATATGGTAAGAAAACTTTCAGGAATTGTAGAAGACAGATTAAAATAAGAAATTTATATATATTGCAGTCATGGTTATTTCCAAGTGAAAATTGCATTCTGCCTTTTTGCAGAGAGCGAGATGGAATGTCACCCACTCTGGACAATGAAAGCTCGAAGTCACATAGGGATTCATTTGAAATAGACCTTGACAGCTGTGCAGAAGGCAACAAAGTGGACCATTATAGTGAAGAAGGTGAGGTTTCGCTGAGTGATATTCGTATAGTTTTGATAAAAGAAATTGTGAAAATTCAGTCATGGTTTGTGAGCACCATGGAAGAGATATATTGAGATTTCAGGTTCTCATTACTGAGTATGAAGATGACTGTGCCATGTAGCCACATATAAATTGACTTGTGTTTCAGAGGTGCTTAATTGCTTGCTGATGATGGAGGCAGTAAGCACCTCTGGAATGTCAGTGAGTTTCTATGAGATTACATGGTTCAACATCCCAGAAGACAGTCAACTTTGAGATAGTACGGTTTTACTAATTTCCTCCCATGCTTTAGGCACACACTTTGGTATCTTTACCTTAATCATACAGTTTTCCATTAAGAGCTTATAGTTAGCCAGGCGAGATATTCTATGCTTTTAAGGAACATGAAACATATTTTGATATATAATTCATTCCCATCATATGTGGTTTGTGGTGCATTGACAAAATATTTTGACCCTTTACTGTTTATGTATGAAATGCTCCATTGTGTTCCTTTCGTTTTGTGTTGAGCACTTTTATTCTCTTCCAGACTCTCTCCTTAACATTGATGTTTCAAACTCCAGTGAGAACAGGTTACGAGGTCTTAAATTGTTGCCAAAGAAACCTTGTTCTGAACTTGACAAGGAGATGGATTCTTCACGTAAGAAACGGAGGCGTAGCAGGAAGAGGTCAGATTGTGAAAGTAACAAGAGGTCTAGACACTCATCTGGGAGATCAGTGCGGAATATTGGTAAAGATCTTCTTCATTGTTTCCATCTGATGAAAGTATAAAAAAATTTTGTTTGTTGTTTGTTAACACATACTTGGAATGTAGGTTGATGCATTCAAATATTTAACAGAATAAGGACATAAATGCAAAGATAGTAATATTGTTTAATTGAGTGTCTATTATCAGTGTTCCATTGCATGTAAGTGATTATTACAGAAGAAGAGGGTCCTGTTTTTAACCCTTTGAAACTGAAACATGTTAAAGTAATATTTAAGAATTCAGACCATACCTCAAAGAAAACGCAACACTTCACCATTACAGTATCCAAATGGTTAATGCTGTTTCAAATCAACTTAATTTCAAATGAGTGGGTGATGATATTTCTCGTTCCATCAGGACTTAACAGGTTCTGGGCTGCAGTATTTATGTTACACTTACATTTTCAGTAATGTTGTATTCACTTTAAATCTTAGCCAAATATATTAATATTCAACTGATAACTAAAAGATCTGTTGCATAAAGATTCTGGATAGCTGTCACAATAGGTAAAGCTGTCCCTATGTTTAACTAAACAATGCCTTGTAATATGTAGTAGTATTGATGATAAGATGTTCACTCTGTGCTTTGTATAATTGGACCTGTTAATTTATTGTAGAAAATATGGAAAGTATTTATCAGATATATTATTAGTAAGGTGGTTGTGTCATAACTATGGCATTCAGGTGTCAGTATTGCAGTGCTGAGACCTGGGTAATTCTTCTGTATGAGTACATTTTTATTTGTTCCAACTGGGCAGAAGTTGTCCCTTGTTACAGCATTCATACTCTGATTCCACCAACAAGCTAAGTTGGGGATGAAGTTTGGTTAGTTTCTTAGTAATGGGGTCTGACACCAGGGATTTCAAAACCGCATGGTTTACACATCAAAACTGTTTTAATGATGATGATGACTGAAAGTGACTGTATAGGCATAATGATGGTATGGGATTTTTATAAGTGTGTCCACATTTGTGGCATATAGTAGATTTTTTGGGCCCCACCAGGCCTCCTATCCACTGGGTACTCATATTTTTAAACATTTTGTAGAACTCATTCAGTTGAGGGTTGGCATATTGCAAGATCTCTACATATAATAGTACAACACAAATATTCAGACATAACATCCATTTCTTCAGAGGCATCAAACCTGTGATCCCAGAGAGTTGTTAAAAATACATCCCCTCTACTATGTGACCATTGGAATCGGTATCTTTAACATTTCTAATCATTTGATTCCATTTTCAGGAGGAGGGGGTGGTGGTGGTAGTGGTGGCGGCGGTGGTGGTGGTGGTGGGGGTAGTGATAGCGATGACACCTCTGAAAACTCCACTGCAGGTGGTTGTACTCCTTTAACTAGTTCAGAAACAGTGCTGTCCTCAAGGTCACCACGGCCTTCAAAGTACAACTTTTATGTTGAATTAGGTAAGAATATTTGCAATAGATACAACATGCTTATTTTTAAAAACTGATTGCTGGAAGTATTTTTAATATTTATATTATTAGTCTTGTCATCATCCTTTGTATTATGACTTGGTATTCCAGTTGAGAGTAAGAAATCTTTCCAATGTTTATACAAGGGGATAAAAGCATGAGAAGATTTCTGTTTGTAGGTTTGAATAAATTGTGTATATGAGCACCATCTGTTTTACATCTTCAGGTAGAAGATGAAGATAAACCTAATCCTTACTTCTAGGCACAGAAGCAGATCAGATGCAGTCTGTATATAAGGCTTGCAAACCTCAGTGAGAGGTAAACAGTAAAAAATTAATCATGGATTGCATCATCTAAAAAGAAAGTATAAGAGGAAGAACAAGTATGTAACTGAAACATTTCTTTCCCATCTTCTTTTTGCAACTACTGCCTACTGAGGTTTGCATGCCTTTCCCTGATATATACCCCATACATGTGGTATGAATTATTTGAAATGTCCTAAACATTCTGTGAAAAAAAGTGAATTAGTAGATTGCATATTGTCAGGCTGTCATTCTTATAGATCCTGAATTGGATGGCACACAGCGTATTGCCCTGCTGCAACAGAAACTTCAGGAACTAAGGAAAACATATATTAATGTGAAAGCAGAACTTGCTTGTATCGACAGGAGGAGAAAGAAATTGAGGAGAAGGGAACGTGAAGGTGAGATGCCAAAAATAATAAAGAATTGAAGACAGGAATATCAGTCTTTGTGTGTGTGTGTTATATATATCTGGAGCTTTTGACAACTCTCTACATTTTTCAAAATCCACCCCTGGGTACTGATGTGACAGGAGATCCAGTCCATGTCATGTAATACCTGTCTGGACCATGTTCACAGCTGCTGAAATTGGCAACAAAAGAAAAAATGAAAGTGGGAGTTGGTACACATTATCTTACTAATTTAGCATAAAGTTGTATTGAGTACAATTTGTATAAAGTTCCTGGTATTTTCCATGTTCACATTCCTTTAAATGATTGATTTTGTTGGGCATGATCCTAAAATTCATATGCAGCCTAGTTGTACTGATAAAAATTTTCTGTTACATGGAATTGTGAATCACTCTCTGAATTATGTTCTATATTTTAGAGTGCAATATCAAATGTAATGTATTTTCTTAACTTCTCTAGAGAGATCAACAAAACAGGAAGTGGTGTGTTCGTGATCCTAATTTTTCACATTCATCCGAGTGAGTCCATGCAGTGAGCAAGTGCAGGTGATTTCATATTACCATTACATGTGAAGGTCAAGAGATAACTGCACAAACTGTAGTTTTATATAAAAGCAAAATATTTTCATGGCAAATGTACAAATTTAATACTAGGGGTCTGATGTTTGAGTATTGCATTTTGACCATCATGAAATGGTTGAACACTTACGAAAGCAATAGGAATGCTGAATTGGAACAATCTGTATAAAGATTTTAAATGAAAGAATGTGTGAAGTTTGTGGGTTGTAAAGTGTACAGCAGAAACTTTATGTTCATTATTGACCTGGAGTGAATGAAGTTTTCAGAATTAACAGATAACATGCATAATATCAGTGTTGACAAGCAGTGAGATTTTAAAATGGCCATGAAGTAATATTTTATAAATTTCTATTTTTATGCAATGCCAGTTTTGCTTTCAGAAGTAATGGCATTTATTGATGTTTTATTTATTTCTTGTGTAGAGCTGATCAGGGACATTTATATTAGAAGAATATGAACTGTCTAATTATAAAATAACATGTGACATAGAGGTAATAAAAGTGTACAGAAAAGCAGAGAACTGTATTAATTTTTGTTTTAGATTATTGACATTTATTCAAAATTGTTTAAAAACTTTATTTTAATTTTGTTGTGAATTATCTGTGCAGTTCAGATCAATTCAGTTTCCATAAATATTTATCATCACTGTTGTCATAAGAAGCTACAAAATGTTGGCACAAATTGGTGTGATAGTTCTGCCTCTGTTGACTGATCGCATTCTGTTTCTTGTTCTTTCAGTAATAACTCTGCAGTGAATGAAGTAAATAATTTCTTTCTGTGCACAGATATTTTTATAGTTAGTGTATTAAATGCCTACTTCTCCCAAGCATGTCAGTGCTTTGGTACAGAGTTCAATTTTTAACCTTGTATTAATGTTTATAGATAATTTTAGATTTTTTTTAAAGTATCAGCACCTATTATGTATGAAAATGAAAATACTGGTGATACATTTGGCAAGAACAGAAAACAGATCTAGTTAGAATCAAATGTATGTGTTACTAGCATTTGGTATGATATTAGATCTACTTGCTTTCAAAGAACAGGTAATGAAGATTCCAATAGAAATCACCTACAAAGTAGTTAAACAGTTTTCTGCTTGGTGTATTGTCACACCAGTCTTATTTGTCGTTTTTGTCTGCATTGTAAATGACAGCTATGTAAATGTTTCCTAAAAGGTTAATATATAAATACATATATTGTTAATAAATAAAATGTATAGCAAATTATGTCACTTTGTGTTAATTGTTAACTAGATGGCTTATCAAACCTGAAGGTTCATCACCAACTTAACCAAAGCCCTCCAACGGACCCTGTCCTGGGCCAGCAAAATCCAGTCTACTTCAACTCCTATTTCCCATAGATCCCGCCTAACATTATCCTCCCATCTACATCTAGGTCTCCCCAACCAATACCTGGTGCACACCTCTTGTCCCATCCATCTCATTCTTGTTAACTTAATCACCCTGACAATACTGGGGGACAAGTATAAATTTTTAAAGTATCTTCATAATAATAATTTCTCCTTTTTTAAATTATCGTTGCCCTGTTTGATAAACTTAAGAACATCTTTTACTTCCAACAGTTTTTCACATAGTCAAAAGATGGCAGTTTAGCCTTTGTTTTATAATGCTGTGGAATATGTTTCTAAAGAATGGTTAATGGAGGCTCCATAAAATGTACAACTGGGTAAGTACTTAGAAGCAAAGACCACACTATTTTGAAAGTAAACAAAAAATAAATGTAATAATTAATATTACTTTTATTATTTACTGCTTTATTGGTTTTGGTTCACAATACGTCGCTGATCTGACGTTTGTATTCATATCGTCTTGGAATACAGAAGGCATATCTCTGAAAATCGTCATAAATTTGTACCCATATACTTGTAGGTTAACAAAGCTGCCGTCAATAGAGTGTTTTACCTGCCTCGTTAGTTTAGTCACATTCAATTGTGACAATACGTGAAGTATTCTAGTGGACCTAATGTGCAAGCACAATATTCTCGCACGTGAAGGTACAAAGAGAAAGAGAGAGGTTGGCGGCGCCGAAACCCGCGGGAGGCCGCCAACCTAAGTATAATATATTACCTTCAATTGGTACAACACGAGATCGCCTGACATAAAATCACTGATTGACACCCAAGCCTCTTCTCTATCGCGCTATGTTAGGGTACGGGAAGGTAATATGCTACGTCATTCTCATTGCTGCACGTCCATATATCAGAATTTAACCACTCAATTTATTGTACCGTTAGAGCAATATATCTAAATACCGTGAAATTTACTTCTCACAAGTATACATAAGTACGTTCTAACTTGTGTCAGGACTCAATAGAAGGTTTTTTTAACGCTAGGGGATTACTGTCGTTGTAATTTAATAGGTATTACCAACATCAAGAATATCGCGAATCATTAATAACAAAAACTCTGCAATAGCAAGAAACTAATATTGTCTTTTCTTTGCCTTAAACATTTCCGTGGTGTACAATATAGTTTAAAATAGATTTAATGGGAACCGGGATCCTTTCCCAGGGGTAAAGCGCTGACCACTCACCCCTACCTATGGTCGAGGTTAAAAATGAATAGGAGCCCTACCTCCTCTCTCTCAGAGAGGAATAGCTTTTCTTTACTTTTATTTTTAATAAAAACTATGTAATTGCAAAAAAAAGTCCCAATGCATGAGTTATTAATATTTTGGTGACTGCATATTATGCCAAAAACGCGTATGATGTGTATTGTATATGAAAGAAGTACTGATATTCAAGAATATATTTTAATCCTCTCCATCTCCCGAGTTACTTTTGTTCTCATCGTCTATCAGTTTGTATGTGTTTGTAATCTCTCCCATGAGCGCTACGTGCCCAATTCATCTCACCTCGATAACCAACTTTGTAATAGGTATTGGGGTAGTGGTTCGTCTGAGATGTTCAAAAATATTCATATCACGGGTTCATGCATAATATGCCACAGAGAAAGTTTGAGTATTGTGTTGGCCCCGTTGATCTCAGCGTTTTTCTTTGTTTGCGTGTAAAAAGTTGATGGTCTCGAAGCACAATTCAATATGGCGGGACATTGCATCTTGAAGTTATAAAGCGTTGTAGTTCAAGCAATAAAAATGCATATTCATTAAATGAGGCGTTTTTAGAGCAACGGAACTTGAGTGAAGTTATGGGCTGCAATTTATAATTTAAACAGAAGATGTGCGATGTATGCGCTGAATTCTTGGATCTGCTACAGTCGTGTAAGTAATGTGGGGAAACGATCGGCAGATGTGAAGGGGATGTTGGATATGAGCTGAAGTATTACAGGAAGTAATTTACAGACAGTAATTAAACTGAAATTGAGTACGTTCATTAGTTAATGATAACAATTTTCCGTGTCTTTCAATTATATATTTCAGAAAACATGCTATTTACTGAAAATATCAGTCCCTAACCATAAACATAACAAAATATGGTGGTCGGTATTCTGTTTTGAATTAATTGTTTGTAAAAAGTATACCTGGATTTGTTACTGACAGGACAGGGATGACATTTTTGTCAATCAAGACTACAATTAATGTGCAGCATTAGCATGGATTGCTTCTGGTTGTTGTACAATAATCACGCGTGTTCATGTAATGTTTAGAAAGTAGTTTAAAGAAGGTGAAACATTGTTATGTTACGTATTATAATATAGAGATGATATATAAATAAGGTGACATACTGGTAGACAAATTGGACAGAACTGCATGACTAATTTAATTGTTTATATTGTATCAATATTAGTGTGATTAAATAAAGGGTTCTGACAATATTATTATACAGTAAGTGTTACTAGGTGTTTGGATTTTGCCTGAAATCTCATAATGCTGAACAGCACTTAAACGACCCGTTCATCAGCTCGCGCGCGGGCCCCAGCATATCCTCCATTCCTCTCTGTCGCTCGCTAATTGTAAATTATAATTGGTTCAGTCAATGTTATATTACAATAAGTGTATTCCAAACAGGACACTAAATCTATTAGGTTTACATTGATTTGGTCTGTGGACTGAATTAGGAATAAGAAATTTTTAATAGAAAACCTATTGGTTAGGAAGATACTTACAGGGGTTATGTGAAAGTGTGATGCTAAAAGTAATTTTATTGAAGTAGGCTATAAGGACCAAATTGTACTGAACTGGCTTACAGTAGAGTACATTTACACAGTTTCATAGTAACAGTGATCATTAAAATGTCAACATATTTAAGGCAGAAGACTGAGACATTATGTTTCTTCAGAATGTTGGTATCCATCTCTGAGTCTACACAGCATTGCAATCCATAACATCATTGTTATTTATTGATATGCTGAGCAGTCAGAGCACCAAGGTTAGGATGCAACCAGTTATAGACTACCTGCTCCTTCTATGCTGTGATATGCTAGCCAGAGTACTCATACAGTAACCAATCACAAGAACCTGTATGATTCCATGGTAATTTTTAGGCACACTTTCTATGGGTGACAACTGCAGTGTTTGTTGAAACATGAGTGACAAGGATAAGGATGTATACCAGAAAGGTTAAGGTTTAATCAGATATAGTTATGAAGTAGGTTACATGCATGAAACCATTGGGGAAATGGTAAAAGATTATTATATTCAAATATGTGATGGGTCTTGTTTGTGTTCACAGTTTAACTTTTTGACATTCAAGTAGTGATTTCCATAGTCAAAACCTTAGTGTATGTGTGTGTATTACAAAAATGTATCAGTCATTTATAATTGTGCTTCTGAGCTGTGAGAGTTAGTGACAGAAAATATTGCTGGGTTTGCTAAGGGGTGAGCCTTCCCATAAAAAATTGGCACTCAATATGAAGCCAGCATAATCATATGATCTGGTGGTATTTGAAAAAAAATTGTTTTGCATGGTGACAGGTTTTAAGATGTTCCATGTATAAATATTTCATTGCATATAAGTAAAATATGCTGGAGAATTAGTAGTGAATAATATTTTAGGAGTACAAATTGTGTGGTTGCAGCTCTTCCAAGGTAACAGCTATAAATGTTTTCAAAAATTTAATTATTGTTTTTATTTAATTACCATGATAAAATGATCACCTGTGATTATTACTCCAGGAATATGCTTGCCTGCTAGCAGTTGTTGATGAATTCATGAAGACTGCCGCAGGGACAGTTTCAGCCTTTGTCTGAATTTGCAGGCTACTGGAATTTATGTTGCTAATTTATTGTGTCTGATGTGCAATGGATTGTTTTTATGACTTTACCATTGGTTCATGATATATCAGTTAATCATGTATAAAATCATGTTAATATGTCTGTATCTTATTTCTCTATTTTTTTAATGTTTGAGATTTTTATTTTCGTTTTTTATGTATACAAATTGGTTTTGAACCTTTTGTGTGATGATTGCCTTGTTACAGATGAAGAAAAGGTTTCTAAAGAATCAGATGAACGGCCAATACTTCGAAAAGATGAAGTGGAGACAGTTTTTGTGTATATCCAGTCTTGGTCTCAGAGGTAAATATTCGTAGTGTGATCTGTTTGCATACATATTGATATTGTTAAAGTTAAAGTTTTAATTTTTTTCTGTTGGTGTTAAAAGACATTTTGATAAGATTTTTTAAGGCACCATGTGGCTAAAAAGTATTCCCCCCTCTTGTGACAAATATTTTAGTTCTTTCCTGTTTAATGATGTATGCTCATGGAGTATAGAGGCTTTTGTTCATTGAAAATTAATCCTCTTATTTGGGCTCCTTGAACCCAGGGTTCCTGTATAAGTGCAGTTTATGTTTTTTGCCAAAGTAGGTTTATTGTACAAAACTGCAGTGGCTGCCTTCCTACCGTGTAAGTTAATTTGAATTAATTTCTTGGTACTGGGGCTTTAATAGTTGCTACCAGGAAAGTCCCATATGGGTGGAAGGCAAGAATATGACTGGGTGCTACTTGGTACCCATAAGATATTGTTAGCAACACCATCATCATTGCCTTAGTGCCATGCAACCCTGGACATGATGTCTCACATATTGACTTTGGTGGACCAGAGACCTGTTAACGTAGAGACATTACTCTGCTTCGCAACATGGATGCCATGGAGGTGGTTGTCTTCTGGTTTGTAGCACTATATAGTCTGGTAGAAGTTTAAACTTCACCAGACTACACAGTGTTACAACCCAAAATAAAGCCATCTTTGCACTAACTGCTGGGAGAACCTGAAATCCTGCATGGATGCCATGGTTGGGTCTTTGAGGGGTAGCTTGCGTGTCTTAGGCCTAGTGGCCTGTTGTAGTCTTATGCCATCATTTATATGATTCCCCAAAGATTATCACACATTTGGTTGGTAATGAGGAATTTGGAATGGGATTCTTAAGTTGGGTATTTGAAGAATATGGTTTTCTAGTTAGCCCTATATTTTTCTATGAATTCCATGTTCACTTGTGTATTTAATTCCTTCATTATATCTAAATTCTATTTGTAGTTCAGATTAATGTAGCCTGCTGTTTTTATGAATTAATTTCTGCTGCCATTCTCCTTTCATCTTATTTGTATATAGCTCAAGCATGGTTAAATTATACGTATTGTATGTGTGACATGAGAATAAACTTAGTTTCTAGAGCCATATTGCACCAAGAATTATGTTACTAGTGGCAAAAAACCATTTCTTTAAGTATTGTACTTTATGTCAGAGTATATAAGAACATTGGCATTTATATGTGCAATGAATTTCTTGATGAACAATTCCAGAATTTATAGCAATGCAGTAAATAAATGAGCAGCTAGGAAACACGAAGCAGAAAGAGTGAAAACATGTGATATGTGGTAGGTAAATGTTTTAATTGGAGGGAGAGAGAGAGAGAGAGAGAGAACTGCAACTACTCTGATTCAGCTAGGTTATCCAAGGTCTTCTCTTGTGGTTTACATTCAATACTGATAGGAGTTGCTGGTCAGCCATTGAGTATTCAGAAACTTCACAGATCACTTAGAAATTGTGTTCTGTGGATATAACTTAGTTTTGTACTTAATGCATCCTGTTCTGTGGTTGAGATTTTTGTTTATTTTCAGACAATGTATGTGCTGTTTTCGTGATCCAAAGAACTTTGAAAGGTTTAACTTGATAACTCAGAGTATATTGTGCCTGGCAGTATGTCAATTGAAAGAACTACGAGAGGACTTGGTTAAAGCTAAGTTATTAGTAAAAAATGAAAAAGAATTAAGTAATGAAAGTTGTGCAGACAGTAAAGGAGGTGACATTACTTCACATGTAAAGGATGTGGGAGATGATAAACCAGAGGAGTTGAAAGCTATCATTACTACAGATTGTTCTGAGAGAGGTAAATCTATAGCAGATGATGAAAAGATCAGACATACTTTTGAAAAGAGAGACAACCAAAAAGAGTGTGGTAGTAGTGACATTTCGAAAAGTGGTGCAGAAAAGGTGAATGGAAATCAGTCAGTAAATATTGATGATGTTAATGGGAAAGAGAAAGAAGATGAAGAAGATGAAGAGGAGGAGGAGGAAATATGGAGCATGCAAGAAAAAGAAAAATTATTACACTTTCTTTCTAAAGTGTTTCTTCTGAACTATCCATTGTATGTTGCTTACAAACATAGTGTTCAGTCCAAGCTAGAAGAGATTTCTCCTCAAGAGGCTGGAAACTTGAATGTCTTCTGTGATCTTCATGATCCTGAAATTCCAGTGTATCTGTTGCGTAATGTTTGTCTGTTCTGCAAGAGTGGTGGTGTGCATGCCATGACTTTCTGCTTTGAACGTCAAAGCCCAGAAACTCTTCCTGTCTCCATTGCTCATGCCATAATTGCAATTGTTTGCAACCTGAAACTGTGGCTTAACTTCCGTTCCATCATGCAGTTGTTTGTGCCACTTCGATCAAAGGTGCTAAGGTACATGTGTAACTTGGGAGATAAGGATCTCCGCACACCAGCAATCAAAACCATGGCAGGTGAGAAATGATACACAATTTTATTTTGTATATGTACTTGAATCTGGAGGTGCTTTACTGGTATTCATTTCAGAATATTTATTGGTACCTTTATTCTAATACTGTGCATCAGCATTCTTAAGGAGTTGTTTTTAAATAAACAGGTGTCCCAAAAAGATGTATACACAGTGCTGACATACGTAATTGTTGTGTGTATACATCTTTTTGGGACAGCCTGTATATCTGCACTTCATCAGACTTGTGTTTATTCAAATGTGTCTTATACTAAGAAATGCATTTTCCAGATATGTGGTATTAGAATAGCCTTACAGAACAACCCATGAAGGCCCTGAAACATTCAAAATATAACCTTCTAATAGAGTTCTTGTCCTTTGGTTTTTGCAGCTGGAATTCAGCTTGTAATTTTGGCAATTGCAATGTCTACTGAAACGGATAATTCTGATCATTTGACGTGGCTCAACCCACAAGTTGAAGTTACACATTCTTGAAAAGTGTGTATAAGTTGTACTTCAATGAAGATATTATAATGTTTTTCTCTCTGTTATTCAGATTTTATGTGGAGCGCAGTGAAAGACCCTCTTGATTCTCCATTAACATTTGATCGAGACGGTTTGGATTTAGCATTTAAATATTTCACAAGTTCAACATTGACAATGCGTTTAGCTGGAATAGCACAAATTAACAGCCATATTAACATGTTCAATGAACTCTGTAACAATGAAAGCATCATTGAAGTTGAAAATGTGGGCCAGAACTTGGCAAATTGGTTGATTGAAAATCAAATAATATCACATATATTTGGTCCAAATCTTCATGTAGAGGTATGTATTAGATTGTGAAGAGAGGTTTTGGTACATTGGTGGCAGTGATGAGTGCTAAGGAGAATATTTATTGATTTGGAAGGAAGATATAAAGAAGATTTTATTGTTTTAATCACTTTGTTTTATATTAGTGTATATGGAGGAAATAATAATCATGTAAGGTAGGTCCAACGGAAACCTACGAAAGGGTGTTATATGACAATTATGGTTCGGTATAAATTTGATTCCTTCAGAGTACTACTACTGCCTTATCTACTACCACCATAACTATTACTGCCATTACTAACATCACAACCAACGCCACCACCAATCTGTTTACACAACAACCTCACTTTTCTTCAGACCAGATTGTTTAACAGATTGCCTTTTACTACTTACTAAAATATTCACATTAATTCTTCTATAACTACTGACTCATTATCACTATCATCATGCACAGTCATTTGTATCCTATGAGAATCAGTGCTTGCAAGTAATTTCTCATTTACTTCAACATAAACATAACCAGTTCTGTAAGTCTGTAGGTTACCATCTTTGCAAGACTTTTCTTTAATTTTTAAGCCCATTCAGCAAACAAGGGATATATACTATTGACAAAATTTTTAAAAATTATAGAAATTTGTCATAGCGGGGCATTCTTTTGTCATCATTGATCCATTTTGTGTCAATTGCTATTACTTTGTTCATATATTTTAATGCATTAGAACCAAAAAGCATTATAGTGATGGTAATATTAGGTTTAGGAAATTTATGGGCTGTAATAGCTTAGTCAGTAAAGCAGCTGTGTCTATATGTTTTGTTTTCCAGGTAATCAAACAGAGTCATATAATATTAAGTTTCTTGGCAATGGAGTGTAAAATAACAAATGAACACATAGATATTATTTGGCAAGCTGCACAGCTGAAACATTGCAGTAAACAAGTCCATGATCTCCTGCCTCCTCTTATTAAGAATTTAGAAGCTGGTCCAGTACTACATTTATATAGCTTACTGTGCAAACTGGAACCAAAGGATCACACAGAACAGGTGAGATACAGAATGTAATAACTTCAAATATGTAGGATTTGAAACTTTCATGGCAACTGAATGCAATAAAATCCTCTCAGGCGATCAACTGTGTCAGAGCCGAGTTAAAAATCATTGTTTTGGAGACGCTGTGTTTCCGTTGTCAGGACCAGTGTATGAATATAGAGGCACCTGCCATGTAATTTTGCAGTTTAAAACAGTCATATGGCATCATTGAAATGGGGTATGAATCTAGTAAATTACGGCATTTGGTTGGTTCTTAAATTTTGTGCATTATTTAGCAAGTGGTGTAAAGGTATTACAGTTCAGTTTGTAATTGGGTAATGGAACAAGAAAGTTTTCAGTTAAAGTCTAAGAATTATTAGATTTATTGGCATATTGTATGACTTTTCCAGAGCTTGTATCTTGCGTCAGCACTGATCAAGTTTATATGGACCAGCGGTGGTACTTACAGCCAAATAACAAGTGAAGCTCCATTTTTGGGTCTTGGGAAGACCTCAATCATTGGCCTGAAAAAGAGACATCGTGAGATAAGCAGCAGTGAGAATAGTGTCAGTATGGAGGCTACTAATTCAGAGGATGAACAGGTAGTTGATCCACTACTAACATGTGACAGCAGTGAGATTTTTTGTATTGCCTCAGAAAATCATGAAACAGTTATGAACTTAAGTATGTGACTATAAACATTTTGTGAGGTGCTAGGAATGCATGCAGAACAACAGAGATCACTTCTGATAGGTTTGTTGGTTCTAGCAGTTTCTGTCTCTGTAGATTGTGTGTTGGAAGGAATGTCAGACTCTTGCAACTGAGAGGTTTAGGAATTAGCAGAGTTGCTAAAAGTAATTCACAGTATGCCAGGAAGTGTAAGATTATCTTCAAAACTGCAGTTATTATAGGTGTGTCATTTTATATATCTTTATCAGTCCAGTTGTATGAATGAAAGTTGCAAAAATGTGTGGAGTGTTTGAAATGGAAAGCAAAACTTAATAATTTTTATCATAGAATCACCATACTAAGCCGGATATTTTCAAGATGACACGACTGTTATGGTACAGTGATTAATGCTACTATTTTTATTTGTGTGATTCTGGACTCAAATCTCAATCTTGAGTGTGGGTGTCTTGACTTCGGTCTCATAAAGTTTTGAGACCCTTCAGTGTTGGAATAAAACTTTAAAATGAGGCATTGTATCCTCCAGCTTTCCTATTTTATTCATACTTTTCTACCGTTTGATGTTGTATCAGTAACATATGCAGTTGAAATAATTTTGTTAAATAAACCAACATTCAGGAATCTTTGAGAAAGAATGTGAAAATAATACTACTTACATTTAATCTGTGGATTTGTAGGTTGTTGAAGAAGAAATACTTGTTTTATTTAATCACAGGCAGATAGTTCACAGCAGAGTGATGCCCGCAAGACACCTAGTGAAGCAAGTGAGGGCCCCACACCATGCAAGCAGGCAAGGAAGCATAAGAAGCACATACATCATGGTGTGGCAGATGCTGGCAGTTCTGATGGTAAGTATAAGTTTTGCACTGATAGTACGTTGTGAGCCAAAGATTGTGGTTATTGGTTTCACCCTCAGAACTTATTCTTGTTTCATTGTTATAATAATGTTTGCTTAACTTGATCTTGTGATAACTAGTATAATAGTAAAGAATCATTATGGTGCACATTTGAGGTATAGTTCATATTTATTAGTATATGAGCATTTGTATGTTTTGTTATTTTACGTTAACTTCCATACAATTGTGCCAAGTTAGATGTGAAGCCCCAATTAAGAAACAAGGTTAAATAATGGTGTGTAACAGAGGCATGCAAAGAGACCTTGCTGCAGTGCCACTATGCCCATGCATTCTGTATGGATTGCCTTAGAATTGATCCTCAGTCTGCATGTTGAGAAATGAACATCTAATGTCTGACCTGGCTTTTCTTGTAGAAAAGTTGAGTATATTTTTAGAGCATAACACATTGATAACCTGTTCTTGGATTTAATATATCTAAATTAGGATGGAATAGTTTCTCACAGGCATTGCATTTTATATAATATAATGGCAAAGATGAAGAAATTGTAGGTGCCAGGATGAATACCTAGTTTTGTTGGAAATAAAAAGTTTAGACAAAGTTTTTAGGTAATATTTACATTATGATCTCATTTTATAGGTAGGATTTAAGGTTCTCATGGTGGTGAGTACAAAGTTGGCCATCTTCTGGATTGTAGCACCATGTAGTCTGGTTGGAACTGTTGAAGTTGACCTATATTTGATACACAGAAGGAGTTTGATTGTTATTATTCTAGGATGTATTTTATTTTTGTTTTTGAGATTAGTGGCAAAAGTCGGGTTTGAACCTGGAATCTTTTGACTTTGATTTGTGTGTTACTGTGTCATTAGGATCACCCAAGTTTAGAGTTTAGAAGGTTTAGTTTCAGTAGTTACCATTCCACTAAGTACAAATATCCATTGGTATTATGATAGTTATCTGCAGATATGAGTAAAAGATAACTTATGAAGCATTATTTATGTCTGATGTAACATATACAGTGGACAGTATTCAGCATAATTGGCAAGCACGTAGATTCTAAGGCTGTTTACCTTTACTGCACGCACTTGAGTGTGATGAAATGTAAACATTTTAGGCAGTGTTAAAATTGAGGATTTGGACATAGAAGAAGAGGAAGAGGAGGAGGAGGATGAAGAAGAAGAGGAGGAGGAAGAAGAAGAAGAAGAAGAAGAGGAGGAGGAGGAAGGGAAAGATGAGCATAGTGAAGGTGATACTAAGGAATTATCTGTTGGTGTTCCCAAATCTTCAGCACAGCACAAACAGCAGTAAGCATAACATTACTCTGAACCTGATGTTTCTGTAAAAAGTCATCTCACATCACAGTTTAATGTAAGTGCCTGTGTAAACATTAATTTTCACCTGATCTGTGTCTCAGGTTGCCTTCAAATCTGAAAGTGAATGAAAGCACAAAGTCAGTTTGTAGAAAACTTGATATTGTGCCCAATTCCAAGTGTCATGGTGGTAAACGGCAGACATGTAGTGATAATGAGGCCGATGCAGATGCTGAGAAATCTGGCACAGATGAAATTCCAGTGAAGCATAAGAAAAAAAGGAGAAAAGTGTTAAGAAAGCGGAAAAAAAGCAAGAAGTGTGTTCAGGGTATGTGACTTAATTTGTTTCAAGGTAGTACGTACAATGTTTTTCTGTGTGCAGTACTGTTTTGCCTTACTTTCTCTTGCCTTTTATCAGTACAACTGTGAGGAAAGCTATGTACTAATTTGTAATAGTAACTACAGTAAAAAAAATATTTTGATCATTTGCTCAATTCACATTCTAGTCAGTATGTATTCTTTGTAACATAATTTATGTTACTGGAAAATGTAGTTGTTATAAGATGGTATGACATGCTTTGTTTACTGATCTTCTGAATCAGCTTTAATGCAAAACAGGAGAAATAAAGAAGTGTAGTTGTTAAAAGTGGATAATGATCTCTGTCTGATTAATAAAATGCCATATTCATGATTACTGAGATTACATAATTTTTAACATTGAAATGAGTGGGCAAATTAAATGGTTACAAAAGGTTCCTCAAGTAAGTTGTTTTACATTGCAGTAAGTTGATTCATCCTGGCAACATTTTTCTGCAATGGCAGGCAGTCTATTTGGTGAGAAGAAAGTGAAAGTGAGACTAGCATAGACATAGATAAATTATATCAGTGACTCGATTAGCCATAAGGATTCTTAATAGAAAGACATGCAGACATTATTTTTAGCACACAGTTAAGTCTATACTTCAGTCCCCTTGGAGGGGGAACATAAGGGAATGGAGACTGCGGCTAAACAGTGATAACCATTGCATCGTGGTACAAAAAATAATATTTTATTTCCTCATAAATTAGGTGAGGAATTGTGCAGTGACAGTAATTGCAAGAGTAAATTCAATATGAGAGACATTTCATTTTCTTGTAGTGTGTGACTCTGTCCCAGGTAAACTGAGTCTCTGTGAGGGTGGTAAACATTGTCGAGTACGACTGGAAGAGTGCTCTGATGAGGAGGAGGAAGGTGATAGCTGCTCTGAGGAAGGTGTCACTAAAGAAGATACCAGCATACAAACTGCTGCTGGTACAGATAAAATGGCAACCAAAGATGTTAAATCCAGTACACTGGAGCCAGATCAAGAAGTTCCTAATGTTCTTGTAAGGTTAGTCTTTCATAAAAGTGGTAATTTATTTGGTATTTATAACCATTACATGTTAGAGCTGTTATATGATTTTTCTGAATAGCAAATATTCTAACAGTGGGAAGTTTTGGTATATTTATGGGTTAGGAATGCTTCAAAGCTTACTGTATTGTTTGTGTTGCTTTGTGCATTTGTCTTGTGAATAGTCTGAACTTTGTGAAGATTACTTGCATAGCATTTAAGACAAAAGCGCAGGCTTTCATTTGGTATATATATTGACCAGATTTAGCAGTTTTTCATTGAGTAAATGATTATGGAAATTTGTCTGTTTTAAATGGCATGGACTAGTAAACTGGACACAGTAATAGTGTATATTCTGGGTTGTTGCAAACTTCTCTGTGGATTTAATTTGCAAGAAGTTATTTTGTTGATCATCCTTTATTCTATATGTTTACATTAGCAAGATGTTTGACATGCCACTTTCAGGGAAGGTGGCACAGAACTCATTCAGCTCATGGATGAACAGTCTCAAGATAGTTCTCATGACTCAACTCAAGGAGGTGTGATGACTGAACTAGCAAGCTTAGTCCAAGGCTCAGAATTTCGACACAGTTCTCCACATGAGATCCATGACTGTCGCCCATATATTAGAAACTTTCAGGCACACAGGTAAAATGTAGTATTATGTAAGTTCTTTAAATGTCTTCCTCCTTTAAATCAGTCTTCTCTTGTTATTACTTTAATCCCTTGCAGGGAATTGATGGATGAAATGATGAGTGGAGAAGAAGGTAGCTATTCATCTCGAATGAGTAACAAGTCTGAGAAGAACATGGCTGATTTTGATGGAGAGGAGTCAGGTTGTGATGATGAACTGGTGCAGCTGGCTGCTCAGGTACAGTGCTGTCCTCAAGCATTTTCATTGTTTTTAAGTGAACGCTAAATGAGGCCAAGTAAAGTATATTCATGAGGGCATATGAAAATTAAAATTGCCAAAAACTTTGTATCTGTATATAATAGATTTGAGACAATTGGAAAGAAAAACAAGGTCAGTTGAATGCACTGAAAGTAAATCTTAATGATTTAATTTTTTGATAGGCTCATCTCTCACCACATTCACTTCCGCAACACTTAACAAATATGCCATTCCATTCGAGATTCCAACAGCCAAAGTTGCCTGGCCGGCCAGGAATTCATGAAGTGACTCGAATCTGCTCACAGTTCAAGATGGAGAATGTTTGTAAACCTGGAAGTACTCTCTTGTGGGACTTGTTACAGGATGACAAAATAGTGAGTATCTGAAGAGGTAATTTTGTTAGAGCTGAAGACATAATTGTTATGGACACACATTTCAGATTTGAAACTGATTGTACTCATTATGAATTTCAGTCAAGATTAAGAAAGGCTCTTGTTATTTATGGACATTATACAGCAACAGGTGTCTAGTATTGTATTCATGTGTACAGTATGTCTATCAAGAATACTGTCAATATTAATGTCCAACTCTAGAAATCTACACAAGCATGCATGATGGCTGATAGAACGACAGTAGCAACCAGCAGACTTGGCTTTTTATTTCAAGTATTTTGGTTCTGCTCAAGAAATGAGAATGATGCTGGAATTAGAACCCTGGCTTTGGATATATTCTCATACCAATAATCTGTGGCTTTGCAAGTGTTAAAGTACCTTGTGTTATTACTGTTAATACCAAACAATTATATGTACAAGGAATACGAAAAGAATCTGCAGTTCTTTGTTTGAAAACCTATATTTGGTACTTATGAAACACACTCATGCTTCAAAAGTCTTCATGCTTTTTGATGCTCTTGTTCCATGACCTCTTCCTTCTGCATCTTTTCGAAGTTGTCGTTTACTAGTCATCCAGTCATTTAGTGACATATTTTCTGATTTATTGAAAGAATAATTAAATAAGTCATAAATAAGTAAATAAATATGCTGAGCTGATAATAAGGTAAATAGGTGTACATTCTAATGTTTGTTTTTTCAGGCACAGCTGGGTGAAGGGTTGGCTTTGGAAGCTGAAAAAGCGCTATGTAATTTGTTGTGTTTTAATACTGAGAGGATAATTAGAATGAAATTTATAGAAGGCTGCCTTGAAAATTTAGCTAATAATTGGTGAGTATGCTAACCTCTTGTTTTGTCATTCTTGTAGAGAATTCACAGTCACTGTAGCAGAACTCTAAGGTTCAACACTTAATAAAATTCTGAACCTCTCATCCTAACATCCTGTTTCCATATGATTTATCTTAATGTTACCCTTCCATCTTCTTATCTTTCAGGATGTCTCTTCCATATTAGACGCATGCCCGGAGCATTGTAACTTCCTTGAGATAACTATCCTAAATGTACTAAGTAACGTAAGTTACAGAATTTCTCCTTACATGATATCCTGAATTCTACACTTAATTTTGTCCCTTTTAAGTCCTTTATTTTCCCGAATACTTTGTTTTCAGACACTTGTAGTGTGTTTATCCATCAAAGTAAGGGAAGTATAACCCCTATTATTGGATTTGTATTTCTCATAACAGAGCTACCATTTCCCCAACCGTTTTTCTTTCACTTACCACCAATATTGTTCCACTAACCACCAGTAGTTATAAAGGGTGACAGGATTTGTGATGTAAGGGACTGAGAAAATGTTTAAGTGCATTGCAGTATTTTGTTGTTTTATAAGGTTGTCAGTTGCTCAGCTTATGTAGTGTCATAAGATATAAGAATGGAGAGTACTGAGGCTGGTATAACATCTGAGATAGAGTAGCACTTGTGAGTCACTTAATAGTGTAGGATTTGAATTCATCACCCTGATGATAGAGGCAGCAAGGACCCCTGAAATATCAGTAAACATCTAGCAGACTGCATGGCGCAACAACCCAGAAGACAGAAATCTTCATACTCACCGCCCTGATGACGGAGGCAGTATGACCCCTGAAATGTCAGTAAACATCTAGCAGACTGCATGGCGCAACAACCCAGAAGACAGAAATCTTCATACTCACCGCCCTGATGACGGAGGCAGTATGACCCCTGAAATGTCAGTAAACATCTAGCAGACTGCATGGCGCAACAACCCAGTTTTATACATTTTGCATTAATAGCCTTTTTCATTGTCATTTACAGACATTTTCTGTAGACACTGATTTACTCAAGAGTTGACAGAAATGTCCTGTTAAATTTCTTGCAGGTCTGTTGTTGTTTCTTTAAGACTGTTACCAAAGTTATTTGCATCATTTCAACAATTTCGTGGAATGGACACACATCAGATTACAACATGGGCAGAAAGAGAGCATAATATGATGCAGTGTTTCTTCAACAATTTGAAGGTTTACACAAAGGAGGGACCAAAGAGTAATCTTTACTCTCATCAGACTGAGATACAAGTGCGACTGCAGTTTTTAACTTCTGTGTTCTCTCCTGTTGGATCACCAGAGAGTTTTCGGTAATATCAGTTTTAGCATGTTACCCAACCTTTGTATTTTTTAATTTTGTACTATTAGTAATACTGACATGGCCATTATGTTACGTGTGATGTAACATTGGCATCACTTAATGTAGGATCATGTAGTTTTGGTCGGTAATAGGGCTTTTCTTTGTGTGTGTAAAATGTAAGTCAACGTGAAGTTCCATAGAATCAACATTCAGCTTTAATTTTATGGGCAGTAATTGATGAATGAATGCTGCCAGATATGTAATCATAAGGCACCTGTATGAGATGTTTTTCTATATTAAAAATTACAAACATGATGGAACTTCTGATGTTATATCTGACATTTAACATAGTTGAAATGTATACTAGTGGAATATATGAACAGAAATTGATATCTGTATCATGTAATTATTAATTTATTGTTCAATTTTCCAGGTGTATAAGTTAGAATGCATGATTAGATGATGCAGATATTATGGATTTAGTCTTAGCATCTTGTTTTCTTATATGTCCTTTTACAATATTTGTACTTTCTTTCAGCCTTAGCATAGATCAAGTGGATACATTATGGTCATGTCTAGCTACAGATGGCCAGTGTAGTGATGAGTTATTCAGTTGGCTTCTTAACCAGGCCAAGAGTAAAGACCAGCATGCATTGGGCATGGATGCGTTGAAGCATTTGTACATGAAGAAATTGCCTTCTTTGGAACCAGAGACTATCAGCATGACAGGACTTGGATTATTCCAGCAGCTGTGTAATCTAGCACGTCTTGCTACAGCTCACCTTGATAGTCCTATCAAAGATGTGGATATTGTGGGCATGAATCACCTCTGGAGGATTGCCCTTAGAGTTAATAATACAGGTATCATTAAATGCACAAAATTTTGTTTAGGAACGTATTTTCTGGCTAAGCATTGCCTTGTCTGTGTTGTAATACAAAATATAAAGAGGACATTTTGAAAGTATAAGTGAATTACTGGAATGTAATTTCCACTTTTGTTTTATAATATGCTGAAAAAGCTGAGGTGACTATCATTGCTGTATGCAAAACTTTTTCTTGATTTCGCTGACCGAACTTTGCTCCTTATCCTATTTTGGATAAATTACGGAATAGTACAGAATTGCCTAGGACAGACACTAAATGTCTTGCCGTGGGAACATTGTTTATTGTAAGTCAGTGTTGGTCTGTGTGGTTATAACACCCCAAAGATGGAGGCAGTATGTTCCTCGAAAATGCTGGTTCCTACATACACGTCCATACAGTGTGACATCCCAGAAGACCAACACTGAAATATTTATCAATATGAGAGTCTCAAATATCATGGTGTATAATACAGTATTGAACATACATTTCTTGTCCTGTGACAGATGTGAGCATGGCAGCAATACAGTATCTGAACAGCTACTATGTGGGAAGACAATTGGATCATGAATCAGAGTTTGTTTCTCAGTGCATGGCTCATCTAGCTGCTGCTACAGCTGACCTTGCAGAGTCTGAAGAATCAAGCCTTCTCTGTATTCAGAGGGCTCTTTTATTGCTCAAAACTCACTTGGAAACATTCAGGAAAAGGTATGTGACACTAAACATTAGTCAGGTGGTAGTACTGCTCCATTTTCTGGATATCCCAGGTTGGCCCAGAGGTGGGCTGTCCTGACTGATGTTTGGCATGGTTTTTCCACCAGGCAACTGTAAGGTATTCTGTGCAAACATACTTTCCAATGTTATAGCCATTTCTTTTGATATTTTTATAATCATATTAATATATTATTTCCAATTCTTTTCTGTCTTGGCTAATAGATTTGTTACATTTTTAATCCACTATTTTCACACCTTTTCCTGGAGACACTCAGAAATTGACAGTGCCAATGATTTTTCTTGCTGTAATGAAGTTCTCATTGTAGGCTTTACTAGTTCTACTATGGTTACACTGTACTGTCTTTTTATCATTGCATTCTTGGAGTGTAATATTAGAAGGCAGGTGTTTTAAATGATATGAGACAAGTGTGTTTAGAAGTTACATGAAAAAAGACGTTTAAGGAACTAAAAGTAGATTTATTCTTTGAATTTTCTTGTTAAAAGATATGCATATCATTTGCGAAGATGGGCACTTGAAGGACAAGGAGTGGGGAGCCACGTGCAATTGATGATAGGAGAACGAGGGTGTGTGCCATTACGAGTGGTAATCCAACCTGCTGGCATGGCTGAGAAAGGAACGCTTGAGCTTCTCAGCAGTGATTATGTCGCAGACTTACGGGCAGAAGTGGCCAAATGGTGGGAAACATTGCAAGTGAAGTGTGCTGGTGAGAAGAATAACTGCGTGTCTGCAGGCAGTACTCCTGTCTTGGGATCCCTTCTTACAGAGGGACCTATTAGAATGATCACACAGGGCCAGGAACTCACAACAGAATTTGATGAGAAGATGCTGCAGGAAATGGGCTTCAAGGATCTTCAGGTTTGTAAGTTTGGTGCGGAATGTCTTTGCTGACCCTTATGTGGTAGAGCACAATAACATTAAATGTCCCCTGTTGTACATAATGTATTAAAATGCATTGTATAAAGGCAATATAAATTAAGTGGCTTGTTTGTATTCAGATGCAGTTTATTTAAATGGCATGATGGGAGGTTGAGATTCCTCCCTTGCTGTATTCATTTAATACTGGAAGAGTGGCTTAAGGTGTTATGTCATATGTGTGTATGCGATGCCATTGTTTGAGCTCCTTACTGCCTAAAGAATCAACAAAGTATACAGGACAAGTCACTATCGAAGTGCCTTCTAGGGAAAAAAATGTTGTTTCCTTGGCTGATACATGTTCCACTGTATTCTTGTGGAAGAAACATTTCAGAATCTTCTACTTCTTTTGTGGGAGGAATTATATTATGTTTATGTAGTGAATACAGAGAAGAATTTTTTGTGATTTTGCAGATGGTATTTATATCGATGGGAGCTTCTAGGCAGCATAAGAAACGTGATTCTCTAGATTCTCCCTCTGTCCTGCCACCACCTCCACGTGAAAGTTTGCCAACACTGCTTTTGCTTCAGCCTCAATATTTTGAACAGCTTTTCTGTCTGATGCAGACATTGAGTTCAATGAAAACTCCAGTGAAGGGTGGGGTAAGTTTTTTGTCAGGCACTCTAAGCACTTCATTGTTTGAAAGAAAGTAATTTGTATGATTATCTTTTGTGTTTCCAGTATGAATTTATTAATTGTCTCATTTAACACTCGTAAGATACGGGATGAAGAATCGTAAATGAAATTTTAAGTTTTCAAAGAAGAGCTGTAAACACCAGATGTCATTACAGTAATAAACAAAATTTGGAGTACTTATTTTCCAAATGCATTGCTTTTTATTTTACATATCCCATTATCCTTGATGTTTGTTCATAGCTGGTGAAAATCTTGGAATGCTGTGGTTGAAGTTTGTATCTTCATTATGTCATGAAATTTGTAATCTCTTTGTGTAAAAATACATGAAACCTACTAACAGAAATGTCTGGAACTTTTGGAAATCTGAATGAAGACCAAATCCCAAAACTCCTTGTCAGTATAGAAACCAACAAATAGAAGTTTCAGGGGATGTTCAGTTAGAAGATTAATGAAACAGTATTATTTCTTGTTACGAGAACTGGCCAAGAGCTTAATATGCAGTGATGATGATGGCATTAATACTGTTAAGTATACAGAAGAGAGGAAGAGTGATTGATCACTTGATCCCTCAAACAGTAATAGTGGCTTGCAGGTGTTATCTGTAATTTTGTATTGTTTCAGCACCAGATACCACACACCAAAGCACAGGTTTTGTCTCGACGTGTTTGGGACATTCTGACTCTTCTACCAACAAGCCCTATCTTGCTGCAAGGTTTCCAGCAACTTGAGAATTCAGAAAACATCTCACTGCAACAACTTCTTGATCCTGCTAGTCCTCAGAAGCTGATGTACTCTTTGTATATTGTGGAGTCTCTTAGCCGGCCCATTGCCTTAGTTAAGAAAAACAAGTCTTCAGTAAGTTGAGTGAAATTGGTTCTATGTTTCGTACAGTTCTATCTGTTACATCATTTCATTACTAAACCAGTAGATATAACTTTATTATAGAAAAGTGTACTCTAGTCACCAGCCATCTTGTGAGCCGTCATTGCAGGGCAAGTGGTGAAGAGGGGAATGTGCTGTGTGAGCATCAATGTACATTTAAGAAACATAATCTCTTCTCTGTTACCTCCATGATTCTAGTTACATGTAGTGCTAAGATTTAACTTTTAGAGTAATTGTAATAATTGAGGGTGAAGTGCACCAAAGGAGATACAACTGAGATGTCTGGTGACCACTGTAGAGTAAAATAGCAGTATTTAATGTTTATGTAATGAATTTGTGTACAATGTTTTAGCAGTGAAACTACAGTGAAACCTCGATGCATCGTTTTCGGCGGGGGTGGGAAATAAAAACGATGAATGCGGGAAAACGATAGATGCGGGAAAGCATTAAAAATTTAAAAAAAAACAATGTTTCTCTTTCAAAGTTACTTCTTTTTACCAAAAAAGTCTTTAATGGACAACTGGTTTGTCGAAACTTTACGTTTTAGGCCAAACAGAGCCCTTTCCAC